GGCTGGGGATGTGGCTCAAGCGGTAGCGCGCTCGCCTGGCATGCGTGCGGCCCGGGTTCGATCCTCAGCACCACATACCAGCGGAGATGTTGTGTCCGCCGAGAACTAAGAAATAAATCCTGCCAGGAATGCTATTTGGTCTAGACAAAATCTCTGCCACTAATTTGGGAGCGTACAAGGTTAAGAAGCCCTGGAAGACCCCATGGATCCAGCCCATCAGGAAAATCTTATCCTTCTTGAAAAAGCCAGTGCCTATTTCCTTTTATGGTTGGAGAGCATGGGAGGCATTGGAAGAGCTCTGTTTATGCTGACCTAGCTATGAAGTACTTCACAGAAGAAAATTTTCACTCTTCTAAGCTACCCTTGTGCCGGACACAGAATAAATCCTCCTTATAGCCCTTTTTTCTCTTTAGACCTTCATTTTGTATTAGGGGTGCCTGCTTTAGAAGGTGAGCAGCTCATGCTATTGCTCAGACTGAGTCTTGGAAAAAAAATCTTGGAATTTTTGCACTTGCACATAGAGTAAAGGCTAACTAGACAGTAAAGTTCAGAATATATTTCAGAGTAAATCAAGAGAATCCAGGCCCTCATGCATGCTAGGTGAGCACTCAACCACTGAGTTTTACCCCAATCCAGAATAGTTTTGAAAAATGATGACTAAGATCTGAACTTTTCATGGACATCTGCAAACTTTTAAAAGAAGTGAAAATACTCTATTCAAGTACATCACACCCTATAGCTTTGTAACTATCCTCATGTTTCCATGTCTGGTTTGTTTGAGCTTTAGCTCAAGGTAATTGCAAATTGAAAATGAGCTTTCAATCTTCCATTTCCCCACCCTTCTCAACTATCTTCTCTGTCACCCTCTATATTCCCAAGGATTTTGCATATCTATCCCAAACATTTTAGATATGTTTTGAACAGGAAGAAATACATGAATTTAGGCCATTGGTTTTATGATGATGAGCCACTGGGTTATGATAATTTTCTCATAATAATCAGAAGATAAAGTGAATTTCAGCAGGACAATAAAGAGGCTAGTTGTGTTAGACCAGGACGCAAGAAAAGACCACTGACTCCAATTAAAATCAAATTAAAGCAAGCTTATTATTTCGACCGGCCGGGCTGCCTT